CCAGATGTGGTGTTTTATTCATTTTATTTTTCAAGTCCTGCTGATATATGCACTTTTTTGGATGCTGTAATATTTGTGGATATCTTTTCTTTCTATTACTATTTATTTTTATTTTCTACATTTTAAAAATCTGCTTGTTAAAAAAAAAAAGAGTAAAGGGAGCAAAAGCCATGATTTAAAATTAGGTACAACTAAAGTGAGGGAGGGAACTTCATTTACATTTGGGTCATCTCAAAGGCTTTGTGTAGCTTTTCAGGGATGCATTCTTGCACTACCATTTTCTATATTCAGTTGCAATTTCCTGATACCATTGTGGAGTTTATTATGAGTCTTCTCACTCTATTATTTACCCATGTGCAGTTAGTTCACTAATGACTGCCCTATGAGCTAATCCGATCAGTTTTTTCTTATCACCTTGCACCTGCTCTGGCATGGGGATAAAAAGCCAAAAGCCTCCCTAAAATAATTTTTTATGATGTATCGAACATTGTGTTTTACCTTCTTTCCAAGCAAATGAACCACATTGCAAGTTTTAAAGATGAAATTGTTAGAAATGTTCACAAAATAAATGTACTGTTTATAGACAGATCTTTTAAAAATATCAGTTGATGAATGCATAACTGCTGTACATTTGCACAAAGCAACCACCAAAAGAGAATGTTTAGTAATTTGCAGTCTGTTAGGAGGGACTCTTCTTACCCAGGGGGGACTGTTTTTACACCAGATTAGTTCAAAGAACTAGACATATTTTCACTTCTTACAGCAAAAGGAAGTTTAAAACAATGTATAATGTTCTAAAAATGAAACAACTCCTTGATGATTTAAGAACAGAAATCTGGATGGAGATTAATAAGAACTCTAGTCTCTGCCTCTAGTGAAAAGACTGTAGCAAAAATCTTCAGTTATCAGTTCAGGGAGAAAAAAGTCAAGATTCCCACTAGAGATACTGGAGGGAATTATGATCTCCTCCTTAAATTCAGCATAGGATTTTCTTAATCAAGTTCATGTTTTTTACCTAAGCCTCATTCTGAAAATAACAAAAAAAGTCATTTGGTATTGTGGACAGCAATAACTTAGTGCTTTTGAAATGTATTAATTCTTAGCTTTAAATTAACAGTTTGCTACTGGTCTATCTACCAAATTCAAATTATGTTGATTCTTGCCAAGTCCTGTAGTAAGAGATTGAGGGGGAAGACAGATACATTCAGGCTGCTGATTCTTTGGTGTAACATCAGGCCAGTGACTAGAAAAAGATAAAACCTAGGAAAAATATGTTCCTAATTCCTAGATAAATGGGCAAAGAAAACATATGGACGTTTGAGAGGGTAAGATTAAGTTCTCAACCCTAGGTGTCATTTTCTCCTCAAATGCCCAGATGATTTGAAATTAATTTTGAACTATAAAGAAGTTACCTGGGCTGGGGATTTAGCTCAGTGGTTCCGGCGCCTGCCTTGCAAGCACAAGGATCTGAGTTTGATCCCCAGTACCAAAAAAAAAAGAAAAAAAATAAAGAAGTTACCTGCTTTGACCAGCTGTTTTTCATTTTAACCCTAGTGTTCTTTTCTCTAGCTATTCAAAGCAGTATAACTTGCACTAGTTAAAAAAAAAAAAAAAAGAGGAATAAAAATCCTAAGTGGGCCCAGGAATGTAGCTCAGTGGTGCCACGCCTGCTGGGCAAGCACAAAGTCCTGAGTTCAATCCCTGGTACCGGAAAAAAAAAAACCCTTAAGTGTTTATGGGGACATTTCTGGTAAATGAAAGCAGGAACTTAATGGGAAATGGCAAAAAAAAAAACCCTTCAGAATACATGGCAATAACTTAGATTTTGTTGTTCTTCCTCATTACACTGTGTCCTTACTAGGATTTTGAAAGGACTTTGGACAGTAAATGGACACACATTTATGTCAAGAATTTAAATTGAACTGAGGGGCTTTAATAAGATTCCTGATATGGAGGGGGTGAAGGGTGCACAGATAATGGGGAAAAAATAAGAACCAAGATACATCATGTACAGGTACAAGCACCCAATGATAAATGTAAATGTATTGTATACCTAAAATGTACCAATAAAAGAATTTAAGAAAAAACATTTCTGATAGTAAAATTTTCTGATTTGTAAGTGTCTTGATATAACCAATTGATTGGAGCCTAGATTGGCTCCAAGTGGGGTATGGACTCTTGAATATATATGGAAGCATTTTTAAATTTTGAAGCATTCCTAAATGTATCAGTATTACTGATATTAGGATATTGTCCTATTCCTATTGGTTGATATGGTGGGCATTCATTCATTCAAAAAATATTTACTAAATGCTTACTATGTCCCAACTGCTTCTCTAAGTGCCAGAGATATAATAACAAATAAGTCTTTATACAGTATTCATATGAATAAAATGGTGTATACAAGTTAAATAAATAAATAAAATTATATTAAAAATAAAACATAAAACAAAGAAAGAACTTCACATAGTGATAAGTGCTATGAGGAGAAAAAAGGATATTTAGGTAGAGTATGGGATAGGTTGTGAGCCAGGAAGGAGAGACATTTTGTTACATAGGTTTGCAGCCTGAGGAAGTGACATTTGAACCGAGATTCAAGTTGAGAAGTCAGCCATAAATTCTAGCTGGTGGAAACAAGCAGTATGAAGATCCTATGACAAAAGCAAATTTGCTATATTCAAGGAATGATAAGAACTCCAGTTCATAAAGTAGGCAAAGCTCACTGGGATTTGTAATCTTACTACCACTGAGTGGTAAATGAATGAAAAACCATTAAAATCACTTTACTTTTTAAATTGTGTGTGTGTATATGTGTGTGTAGTATTGGGGGGGTTGAACTCAGGGCCTTTGCACTGATCTATATCCTCAGGCTATTTAACTTTATTTTTAATACTGAGACAAATTCTTTCTAAATTGCCTATGCTGGGCTCAAACTTGTGATCCTCCTGCTTCAGTCTCATGTAGTGCTGGAATTACAGGCATGCACCACCACACTCAGCTAAAATCTCTGCACTTTAAAATTTTACTTTTTCTTTTTACCCCCCCCTTCCATTTTACATGAGTCTCTTTACAGCTAAAGAGACAAGATGAAACAGTTTAATGAAAGGATTTCTTGACTGTTTTTAATGCTTTCCTCTACTATTTTAAGAAGTCTTCTCTGTGATCACCATGTCACCATTCTTCCTCTTTGTCCAGAAATATCTTCTCTAATTTTTGTATCCCTTCTTGACAGAAATTTACAAAAAAGATATTTCTTTTATGCCTTCTAAAGGAAATAGAAGGAAAATGCTGAAGAAATAGATATTATAATTACATATTTTGAATTCTGCCTTTGTTATAATAGATTCAGGTTATTATGTTCATCAGATATAGACCACTTACCCTGTATATTTAGAAATGCCACTTAACCTCTCTTGCACCTCAGTTCCTTCTTCTAAAATAAATGGAGGTTCTGCTATTTATCTGGTAAGGTCCTGTAATACTGGGCACATGTTGTGTCAAGCACAGTGCTCAGAACATAGTGTTTACTGGAGTAATCATTGTTATGTGATTATGAAGATTTCCATTCTTTCCAGCCCCTTCCTAATAAACCTTTGTTGCACACTTTTTTTAACAACCCAAATAAATTTTTATGCTAACTTCTCAGCTCATGCCACTGATCAAATGAATTTTCCATGTTCAGCTCAAAAGATACTGTACATTTATCCCTGGCCCTTTTTATTTATTTTTTAAATTTGGAGGTGGAGTCTCACTAAGTTGCTAAGTTTCCCAGGCTGGTCTTGAACTTGTGATCTTCCTGCTGGGATTACAGCCATGCACCACCATGCCCAGCAAGATACTATGTATTTATGAGAACATCTTTTGGTAGCAAAAATTACAGGTGTCAAATATGAAAAACATAGTAATCAGGCTCCCATCAAGCTCCTGAAAACTCCATGATTGGGTAGCTGTACCAAGGGTTCTAGAGCATAGGTGAAAGCATATGAGTATATAGCCCTGGATCTCCTGACTGCACCTGCCAGGTCTTCAGTCACTCATTTTTATCTAATTAATGACATTCCTGACATATAGGGTTCATTTAACATGGAATGTGTCCATATTCTGTCTGTGGAACACTTTGTTCTCCAACTACAAAAAATAAGCAATCACTGATTTTCATTTTTTTATTGTATCATTTCAAATATAATGTTCTCCCTACTTCCCTTTTCTTTCTTCTTCCTTCCTCTTTTTCTTTTTCTCTAGTAAAAGAAAGAGGGAAGCATTTCGGGCTTGATCTGAGAGGAGGACCATGATTGTTCCAATTACTGAAGTTTAGCTTGTGGTATTTTCCTTGCCTAGAATGCTTTTTCCTCTTTTCTTCTATTCAAGACTAGTCTCACCTTTTCCACTAAATGTTATTAACTGTCTTTGTCCATTTTATGCTGCTATAATCATACCACAGGCTGGATAATTTTAAAACAACGGAAGTTTATTTGGCTTACTGTTCTGCAGATTGGAAATTTCAAGGCTGAGGGGCTATATCTGGTGAGGGCCTTCACTGTATTATCTTCTGTTGGAAGGGCAAGAGAGGGCAAGGGTGGTGGTAGAGGAGGAGCTGAACCCATCCTTTTTATCAGGAATTCACTCCTATCATATCTAACCTGCTTTGTGGATAACAGTATTAATCCATTCACCTACAAGGTAACCCAGTCACCTCTTAAAGGTTCCACTCTCCATACTCTTACATTAGGGATTGAGTTTCAGCACATGAACTTTGGGGGACACATGCAAGCCATAGCGATAACTCTGTACTGTCGAGGACCAGAGGAGAATTAAGGCCTAATTGGGCTCCTCTGTGAGCACAAAGGAGAAAGGCTGCACTCAAGGGTGACTGTATATTGCATATTAGGGAAAAGTTAAGACAGCTGAGGTTAAATTGTTTACCAGCGTATGTACTAATGGCTATTGGAAAGCAGATGAATCTTGTGTTACTTTGATTGCTTGTGCCCATGTTTGGGTGAATAAAAGCAAGGTGAGGGGGAAGGCTCTGGCTGTTCTGCCTATTGTAGGTCGGAGCCTCCCGGCTGCCCGCAAGGTAAGCTGACTCCGTGTCTCTGTCGTTCGTCCTCATTCGCCCTGGGTCAGAGAGAACAAAGGAGCGAATCTAGGTCCCTGAACAAGGCCGGCAGTCAGCGGTCAGTGTGGGGTTCGGGACCAGGCTCGCCTACACTGGACTTGACTTATTGTCCTGCAGGAATATGTTTGTGTGTACTTTCTGCCATTTAATTCATACTGTTGAGCATGGTACTTAAGTTTAAAGGCTATTTCCCCAGGTAGATCTTAAGTTTATTCAGAGCAGTGATTGTGTGTTATACATTTTTAGTATCTCACTGTTTCCATCTCTTCCAATCCCAACCATAATCGTGATTTTAAACACATACACATCCCTTATTCCTTGGTGATTAAGGGCATTTTTAGCTAAAACAAAGACAACTATGTATTGTGTAATATTATAGACCCTGCACGAGGCCAAACTTGAGTCAACTGTTACTCTAAAAGAAACCTATTGGGAGGAGTTGGGGAAAGGAAAGAAGGGAATGGAATTAATATGAGAAAAGGAAAAAATGGAAACAAAGTCTTTGTAAACAGAGGAGTAAAGGAGTTGGAGGGAGGGCAGGGGAATGGGGAAAAAGTAACCAAAATATGTAAAGGTACAAATTTCCAATGATGAATGTCATTGTATAACTAAAATGTACCAATAAAAATTTTTTTTAAAGATGAAATAATTTACAAGGATAAAAGAAGCCTATTAATAATAGATCCAGGCTAATTAAATGCCTCAATCCATACCATTTTACCCCAAATTTCCCAGGGAGTTTGAAATGTCTCAGTCCGAGCATCTGTAAATAGTGAAATCAGCCCTCAAATAAAATAAAAATCCTTAAAAATTAGACCTTTTGTTTCTCCTATTATGTGTATTGTATTCATATAGATTCTTGGTTACATCACCACCAGATGACTAAAAATGAATGCTAGTCTTTTTTCTCCCTTCTGTTGATAGCGTTAGTGATTTGTTTGGAGAAATTAGGGGAAACTTGGAACTAAGAGGAAACATAGAGACTATGATTTTTATTCACTTCTTCATGTGGCCAGTTAATGACAAACCATAAAAACAAATTGATACATAAAAGAAATATTATCCTCAGAAGAAAGTACTTGTTAAAGTTTAAAATGGCAGATACAAAAATAAAGAGGATGGTAGCTAATGAGCTCTGTAATATAAACCAAACAACATCACTGAAATCCTGAATAAACAGGAAATCCAATAGAGGAAGATATCTATGCTTGGTTACTGCAGTCTGCTATGTGTAAGTTTAAAAAAGGAGAAGACAGTGCTGAGTGAGAAGTCACGTATACCTAGATGTGCTCTATTAAAAGAGGCCCTTGATTGCTCAGTAATTGCAGAACTAGGCTCTTGGGGAGGCCTTTGTCATCCCTCCTTGCCTGACACCAGATGATAGTGTGGCTCTGTGATAAGAAACGGGACCGGTGTCTCCATGGTAACTAACTGAGCTCTATATATTACACCTCATTACAAATGAGGATAAATATATACATATATATGCAGAATAAATATATGCATGTGGATATATGTATCCTATCTTTTATCTAGAAAGTGAAAAGAACAAAATGTTATTGCATTGAAAAGATAAAGTTGATAGGTCTTTTTTCCCCCATTGGTGCAGGTCAATATTTCATTTTTCAATTCCTCTGATGAGTTTGTTCTGAACCCACCCAGCTGTAGCTTGAAAGATTAATGATGGCCAGCAAAAGAACCTGAGAAAAGGTAGTGAATGAATAGAAACCAGCACCAGGGAAGAATACTGCCTGGCTTTGGGGACAAATAAGAATTTACTAGGTCTATTAGTTTCATCCCCCTAACAGGAAAACCTGGAACCCATTAGAATGGAAACCTAAAAACTTTTGTAATGTAACGATTCCTAAGAGTTCCAAAATGCATAGTCCAGTGAGAAGAAAAAGGAAGGAAGGAAAATCAACAATTTCCTTTCTAATTTTCTCTTCTGTAGGTATTGATTTTACTTTAACACACCTAACTTTACTATATGTCTTCTCATATAAGACCATTATACTATGTGTAGGTCTTCATAAGGTTAAACACATTTCCTGAAAACAACCTGTGCATATCATACATTTTAAAGAAAAAGACCAAATTAAAGAAGGCATCATTGAGTAAACTATTAACACTAAAATTAAAACTGTTAATTCACCATACAGAATGCAAATATTTGATCAAAGAACTAAGACCCAGGAGCTTTTTGCAAGTGTTGTATTAGCTTTGATATATTAGTTCATCTGCTCTTAGATAAATAACTTTAAGCTCTGAAGCAAGGACCTTTGGTAGCCTGGAAGGAATTTCTGCTGATCCTTAAGGTTAGTTCCTTCCCTATGTCTTTTTCTCAACACATCTAATTTCTGAACAAGTATTTAGGTCATTGCTAGAAAGCATAAATGTCTTTGAAAAATAAAAAATAGTTATTTCAACTAATGTAATGTTCTATCTTTCAGGTCCTTTGTACTATTTCTCCTCTACATGGCTTGTGAAAACCATTGTTTAGAGTCCTCCAAGGTAAGTACTTTGCATAGGGGTGACACGGGGAAGGATGTAAGTAGGTTCAAACCCAAAAAGAATGAAAACGTGTATACAACTTTTACACAAATGTTCTTAACAGCATTATCCATAATTGCCAAAAAGTGGAAACAACTCAAATTTCCATCAGTTGATGAATGGATAAATATAATATAATATATCTTTACAATAAATAGTATTCAGCAATAAAATGAAATGTACTGACACACTACAACATGGCTGAACTTTGAAAACGTTGTGCTAAATAAAAGGCAGTTATAAAAAGACCACTTATTGAATGATTTCCATTTATAGGAAATTTCAAGAATGGCCAAATCCATGAAGTAAAAATAATATGAGTGGTTGCATAGAGCTTGAGGGGAGGGGATCAAGAGCTTGGATGAGTGCTGAAGGGTATTTTTCTTTTGGTAATGGTGGAGATGTATTAGATTGGGTGGTGGTTGCAAAATTCCAAATAAACTAGAAATATTACATTGGACATTTGAAAAGGATGCATTGCATGGTATGAAAATTTCATCTCAAAGCTATTGCAAAAATAAAGGACATAGGTCAAGAGGAAGATTATGATCTATGAGTGGGAGGACCATATATTCTGATTGCCTGAAATTGTCTGATTTTTCCAGGTAGAGCAATGAATTTTTGATAATCCTGCTTTGACTTTCAAAATGTCCTGATTAGATGATGAATTATATGGTCATCATATATATAACCAGAAGTACCATGACCTTCTGCAGGGTGTCTTAAAGTTACCTAGTCAAAATATCACTTGGGGGCTGGGGATTTAGCTCAGTGGTTCCTCCGCAAGGGCAGGGTCCTGAGTTCGATCCCCAGTACCCCCCCCCCAAAATCACTTGGAATCCTTTTAAAAATAAAGATTCCTATGTTCTTTCTCATGGACTCTAAAGTAGGTTAAAGATGGGAACTAGTGTTTGTGTTTTTAACGATTATCTGGTGACTCGTATGAATTGCTGGCATTCTACCTGCTCATAAAAAAAGGTGACCAAATTACCTTTTGGCCAAATAGAATTCCAGGGAAGTATGAGGAGGCTTTTTCAGGAAATTGGTCAGTTATAGAAGGCTGCAAATGAATTCTCACTGTGAGAAGGATAGAGAACAATGAGAATAAATAAATGCAGTGATAGTTCTAAGAAATATCCTCTTTTCTTTCTTATCTGAGATTATAAAACAGATCTAATGTCTGTTCAGTAAGAATGAATTAGGACTGTGGTGGTTACGCTTAACTGTGTTAACTTGATTTGCTTGGGAGCCTCCTAGGGGATTAGTAAAGCACACTGCTAAGTGTACATGGTTGGGTTATGGAGGCGTGACCATTGGTGCTATACATGGTCCCTGGCTCCTTCCTCTCTGGCATTGCTCTGCTTCCCAGCCCCTGTGAACTATGCATCTTTGTTCCACTGTGCCCTTCTGCTGTGATGTTTCTGCCTTGAAACTAGCTAACCATGAATTGAATCCCTTAAAGCCACAAGCCAAATTAAACCTGGGTATTGGGTATTGTCTTAGAGACTGGAAAAGAGACTACTACGGGAATAACACTAGGAGTGGTCCAGCTGGAAATTTCTTTAAAGTGGCCAAAGGTAGAGGCAGGTGGATTCTGAGGTATCCCTGACTACTGCCTCCTATCCTAGGACCGAATATCTACTACCTACTACCTTCATTTGGACTTTTCTGTCCCACTCCATCCCTCATAATTTTGATTGTGGTAAACTCTCAAACTCAGTTTTGAAGACAAACGCAGGACCCTCAAGTGAGGCAGAGCAGTCTCAGAAGCATAGAGAAGTCCAAGACACTTATACCTTAGAACATTTTTTTAAATTAGAAGCAGAACCAAGGAAATTGGGTCATAGGAGTTTTTTAAATAAATATGAGCGGTAGGCCATATAACAAATACGAACCAAACTGATAAAACAATGTCATGTGTATAGTATAATATGCAGATTATTAAATACTTAAATTGTGATTTGTCTGAATACATTGAAGATGCTAAGTCTTCATTGTCCTTTCATATGGAGGAACTTCACACTTTCACAGTCTGAAATGAAAATTGTGCTGAAGAAGCTTATGCATTCCCACATGTGTGGAATCATTATAAAATTTCTTAAGGAAGAGGAAAAAGTCATTACTAACCTGTTCTCTGATTTGGCCAGATGCTTTAACTCATGTCCTTTTTGCTTCTTTAATCAAGCAAGAAAAAAGCTCTCCTGCAGATTCAGAGCTCAGAAGTACTCCTCCGTGCTCCTATCCTTGCCCAAGTCTCTTGATCTATGGGAAAAGGTTGACATCTGGGGAGATTTCTTTGTTTCACTTTGTTCTTGCAAAATGTTTGAAATATTCAGGCTTTTTACTGAAATTTCAGTACTTTTTTTAGGTACTGTCGGAAATATTTCAGTGTTTAAAAAGGATTCCTAATTAGTTGAGGGACCTCAAGGATAAATGTTGTTGTTGTTGTTGTATAACACAAATTGACTTCTATGATTTCTAAACTGCTGCTTTTTGATGGGACATTCTATGCATCCCCTTTAAGCTCCTATAGAATATTAGTAAGCCCTATTAGCAGATCAACGTGACAATATTAACTGAGAGGAATGCTTTGGTGCTTCTGATGACTGGGCACCTATGGTCTGGCAGTGTAAGCAGTAATTTAACATTGCCCAAAAGGTGATTTGGAAAGCTTTTTAACTGTTTTAACTAAGAGAATTATAAATTTTAGGCTAGAGATACAGCGTTATTAGATCCTCATACGAAACAAGGACAAAAAAGCATTTTTCTAGAATAAGGACCTATGTTGAATTACTGGAAAATATTTCAGGTGAGAACTTTATTAAATACCTACAGGTTTAGGAGGCTCACAAACCTGAGATTTGGTAGGCATCTATGATGGTAAACAAATGATGAAAAAAAAATACTAAGCAAGACTATGGCCTTGAAGTTTCACTATTGTCAGGAAGTAAGGGCGTTCTGAACACTTGAGGAGTTTGAGGCTAGCCTGTGCTCCATAGTGAGTTCAAGACCAGCCTGGATGATATAGCAAGACCCTGTCTCAAGAAAACAAAAATTAGAGAGAGAGAGAGACAGACAGACTGACTGACTGACTTGATAAAGCTTTTGGTTAACTTTAGTAAAAGCCCTTGGTTGACAATTGGGGTTGACCGAACCTTAATAGAAGTCTAGAAGTGAAATACTAAATTATAACCAGAAAAAGCATCAAATAAACTATTAGAAGTTATTTTCTGCTTTCAAGTTCAATAAAATTCTTCCCCAAATATATCAAAGTTATTTTTTATTAAACTGTCAAATGTTTCTCTTGGTTGAAATCCTCAAGTGTCACAGGATCCTTCCTACTCAGGAGCAGGGGATGTCTGTCCATTTTCTGATATCCTCTTCAATCTCTCTTTTCAGAATGCTATAGTTTTCAGAGAAGAGGTCTTTGATATCTTTCATTAGGTTGATTCCTAGGTATTTCAGTTTTTTGAATGCTATTGTGAAAGGAATTATTTGCCCTATTTCT